GCTCTTTTCAGATTCAAAATACCTTTTGAGGAAATGTATTTTCAGATGCCAAGTAAACTGCATCATAGCGCATGCGCAACCCCCCACCGCACTGAAATGGGCGGGACAGAAGCGGAAGGTCGTTCTTAAAGAGATCAATTTTAAGGCATTTAGAAGAGGAAGTGATGAGAAGTTTATTTTCTGTTTAAACATAAAAACAGCATTTTAATAACAGCTAAAGGTGACATAGATACTTTATTATGGTATAGTATTTAAATATATGCCTGAGAAACACATAAAATTGCCCCTTTAAAATGCTTAGTTTTACATGTTGGTGATGAATATCTGCATCCTGATGGGAGGAGCCTGAAGTTGCGGTGCAGAGGGTGATATACGTTTTTTTAAAATAAATTTAAAACTTTAAAATGAGAATGAACTATTTTACCTGGGAGTTACCACATTAAGAAAAATCTTAATACTTTCATCCTGCAGGATCCTTTCTTTGTCCTCTTTTTCCTCTTCTAACATGTACTGGGTGGAGTCATTCTTCTGAAAATTCCTGTGAACGTGACACAAAACCTTACAGTGCTGGAATAACTTCAAAACAACAAGAAAGCAAATGCATTCCTATTGGGCCTGAGCAAGGAATAAAACGCTTCTGAAATTTATGTGAGTGCCTCCTCCTGCCGAACAAASCCATTTGATGTGCACAGATTTGTTATCGTACCTGTGCGTTTGTGCACTGCAGTCCCGCAGCCTTGGAACCGCCTGTGTGCTGCAGTTTTTCAGCATCACCTTCATGCTGAATGTCTTGTCCTCATAGGAGGGCCACTCCAGGTGGGTGGTCTCGCTGCCAGAAAAAATGAGTGGCAATCCAAACGACTCCCGCTTTCTAAASAAGCTGATCTTCAGCTGGTGAAGGCAAGGAGATCAAAACGACAGAGTGATACTGCAGCAATAMAGAAAATAACCCGTATTTTATATCACATATTTACTGTTATGTGGTTTCGATTCACYGCAGTACCTTTTCTCTAGTCTCTTTGACAGATTCTTCCTCAATTTCTGTTTCACTGCCAAGAGAAATCCATGGTTTTGGTTCTGGAGTTTTATTGACTTCATTCTCAAGCTCTTCTGTTTCAGTCTCAGGCGGCTGCAGAACACAGACAGAATTACAACGCTGAGATAAGATTCTGTATATCAGGTAAATAGGAAATCTTTTAAGCATCAGCATGTTTATGAAAGGAAATATAATCTTTCTTTTCTTTGAATAATTTGAGAATTTGAACTGTTTTCTTTCTTTATGAAAGAAAAAAAATGACGAAATTTTATACAAAGAGTCTTTCAAACCATCAAATAAAACGTGATTAAGTCCAACAAATTATAAATCTAATGATAATTAAATTTACTATCATAAAGTAAAGTAAAGTAAAGTAAAGTAAAGTAAAGTAAAGTTTTATTTATATAGTGCCTTTCACAGAAATAAATTCACAAGGTGCTGTACATTCAGGGAAGGGGGGAGGGGGCAGTTAAGAAACACCCATTCAAGAAAACATACAAGACAAACATGGGGGAACAGGTGAAACAGGTCATGCAGCAAACACAACAACTTAAAAGGCTTACAATATGTACTGTACTCAAAATATAGAAC